GTGAGGACAAATACTTACCGCCGATGACATTGGCTAGTGGTCCCCATGTGTACATCGCGAATTGACAGGAGTTATAATTCATGCGCTAGCCATTAAATACTGGTGCAGGTGCCTGAATCTTGGTCAAGGACTTTGGCCACGTAACCTGAGGTTTCTGGTTTCTAAACCTAGCGGTGAAGTCATGATTGGTCTTAAGTCCCAAAGTGCGCTGACGAAACAGCTGTTCCAACGGTTCCCTAACACATGTGTCAGTTTGTCAGTATGTAAAATGCTGAAAAATCCATTCTGTGTGACAATTACTGTTTGGAATGAAGTGATTAACACTACTAATATTACTATTCTAATGTCCATTTTACAGAACGTAATAAATGTGGAAGACGAATATAATTTTAATGGATATGACAAATCACAAAGAGTGAATGCATCTGAGCCATTGTGAACTAGGGTTTTGAGTCATTACACCACCAGTTTGTCTCAAGGCTTCATTGGTTCTCACCATTTTGATGACACCAACCAGGAAGTCTACCCCTCCCTACGTGTCGGGCTTCAAATAAATTTTATAGATTTCATTGACTAATAAAGCCATGTCTTGGTACCTAGCTCACTTCCAGCCTGATTCTTTATCAGAGGCAAACATTTCCCATGGAGTTAAGTGATCGATGACCAGGCTGGCATGAGTAACACATGTCCTAGGCATCTCAATCGATGTAACTTGACGACCTCGTCGACTGATTTTCCCTCCTTATCTAGCACTCGACTGATGACTAACCTCAATATTACTCACCCTATTTCACCATCTAACATGGGAGATCGGACGCAGATACCTATGATCAGAGACAACTAACCAGCCTTTACATGTTTTCTACTTTCACTAGCACTGTCTCATAGCCATATAAAAGGATGGAGCGAACTGCTGGTGTGCAGTACACTCGTCCTTTGATCGACAGTCGGATATCACACCTACACCAGATATGGAGTAAGTTGAAAAATGCCAAACTAGCCTTCTGTATCTGTGCTGAGATTTCGTCAGCGATCGACCCGTTGGCGCTGGCTGATGCAACTTCCCAAATAAGTGAAGCAATGATCAACACACTATACCACTTCACTCCTGTCTTTCTCTAATCTAACTAGGAGTCGATGTAGTCTAGTCCTATAGCATCATTTTGAATTTGACAGGAGCGAATTGCATGCGAAACATCCTACGATTGCTGCTCCTCAAGGTGTTCAGAAGACTCAACTGCTTTTTGTCAGCTTCTTCCTCAACCAGGATGAGCTGGACTGTATCATCAGAATATTCTAAGTCAACATGCCTAGTTGGGTGTGTGAGCCTGAGAATGACGTGTAGTTGAGTAGTGACTCATTCTGAATGAACCTGCATACTCACCCATTGGAGTGCGTGGAGAATCAGCGAAAGAGCTCAAAGCATCCGACTGTCTTGTTGATTTTGGGACGTCAGCCAATATCTGTAGCCGACTGTCCCATGTTCAAATATTATGCCTCTGAAATGTCTTGATATCCATTCCACCCAGCCATTATTTTGGTAATGAACTGGTCATCATGTGTACATGATGGAGGCCCTTTTTATGAGTCTAACAGGCAACACTGTCTGTACCTGCCTATTTTCCGTACACCTTAAATCAAAATTACAATTTGACAATGTAACAGATAATGGACTCAAAACATCGTTTATTAGTGATGTCACCATGTGGGTGTGAAAGATTCACTGCAATTTTTATGAATTTCTATATCTTTTTAAATGATATATCGACAGCTTTTTGTTGTGTATAATTCCGCAAACTACTTGTAAACGTGACAGTTGTGAGTAGTATATAGGTTCATGAAAAAATATACGCCGAAGTTGAATTTTTTCGTTTACACTTAAAAATACTTGAAACTAGTCAGGTTTAACCAATGAATAATCCAGAAACAATTTATCTGAAGCAGAAAATATCTCCTCAGATAAATGAGATTCTAACAGGCTACTGCAAACTTTCATCAACAGCTGTCTTCGCTGTCTCCGTACTGGAGACTAGACTGCTGGCAACGACCCAACGAAGAACTCATTGCTCAGCATATCAGCTGATGAGGAGTCTGAATGGCATCATATGCCAGGCAGGACCGCGTATGCGACATGCTGTGGTAAATGACGAATTGGAGGTCTGTCCCAGAGTGACATGGAGGAGATCTTGTGGTGATGCTGATTTAATGAAATCCTATGGGTAGTCTGGGGACCAGCTAAACAAAGACTGCAGTTAACAAAGTGAAATGTACTATGCACGACATCTGAAGTTTTAGGTTCCAGTCGGAACTAGAGAGAATAAAAGTGTGGTGAGAGCTGGCTGCCAGCCAAAATTGGTAGATTGCAATTTACGTCAATGTTTACGTCCCCAATATTGGTCATGAGAATAATAAGAACAAAGACTGACTCAACAGCCAATCACGGCAGCCTTTGCGTAGGCGGATACAATTTGCAGATAGATAATCTGAACTTGAAGAAACGGCCACAAAGAGATGAAAGAATAACTTTCAGCGAGAAACCACCAATCAGAAGACTGTGTTTGTTTGCTTACAATAATCTATAATAATGTACGTGCCTCCCGGGAAATCACTCAAAGAGCGTATGTGCTGAAGCAGTTTTCCCTAAACATCTTCAAAGAAATATTTCAGTGTATATTTACACGTTACTTCACCACAAAAGAGGGCACTATTTGGACAGTTCTGTAGGAGATTGAACAGGTGTAAAAGTGATGTGTGTCATCTGGACAAATGTGTACTCTTCACAGTAACAGTCTTGCATTCTGTGCAAATAAGTAGAATAACATTTGATAGGTAAATGGACAGGACGAAATGAGCTAAAGTCATTTGGGATTTGGGATTTAGTAATACTTCACTCACTCACGGGCAAGATGGTCATATGGGTGGGTTGTAGTAGGCTTTACGTTAGTGCGATAACGATCTGATTCTCTGTAACTAACATCCCAGTGGTTAAATCATTGAACCATCTATATTTCTATACAGCGAAACGGGTATAATTTACTCAATCTCGTTTTGACTTTACCAATTAACTAACTAGCTCTTTGAAGAGTGATCTGCACCAACATAAAATTTCAAATGGCTTTCAATATATGACGAGGTATGTTCTGAAGGGACAACAAAATCCTCGGTAGTTGAACCACGTTTCACACCGAACAGTATTCCGCCCCTCAAAACACTGAAGACTTATTTCGCTTGAAAATTCTGTACAGGGAGTAAATAAAACACGCTGGGAGCTCCGTACTCCATATACACATGTTTTTCAGAAACAAGATTTTATCATTATTAGACAACATTTCAGTGAAGAAAAATGTTCCCCACGGACGAAATCATCTTCCAACGCTGTACAATCCTATTTATTATTACAAAAATATATAGCAGTTTATTACTCGAGTAATAAAAACGGCTAGTGACATAGCTGATAGAGTTACTCAGAAGTGGTTGCTGAAGGCAAAATGGTGTGAACTAACAATCAACGAGATAGTTATAGTAACGGTTTGAAATGTTACAAGGTGAAAATAGTAATTCCATATTAGTTTGTTTATTAGATGTATCACACAGTGAAACAGTATTATTTACTGGATGACGTTTCGAACAAAATTTATTGTTCATAATCATATCAATTATAATCACACGACTTCGAAACTTGAGTTTTATGGTTTTCTTTTTCCTCTCCTATTTGTCGTCGTTGGAGTAGTAGAATTTTCCAGATATCTGGGACAGGTGTTGAATCATTCCTATTACATGTATTTTCAGTTGATTCGATAAACAAAGCTTCTGTTATCAATCTCTCCCTATATCCTGTGAAATTAGACTTTAAAACTTTCATCCTATCCCACTCAATTGTATGGTTGTGTGTAACTGCATTTAGTGCTATAGCTGAACTATTCTCTAGATTTCTTATCTTATTCGGGTCAACCAATCTAGATTTTGCTAAGTTTTTATGTTCAGCTAGTCTGACTGCCCCTGTTCTACAT